TCGTAAGTGTAGCCTTCACCCACTTCTCTGTAAGACCTCAGAGAATAAATCTAGTCAGGAGGATTTAATGTCTGACAAATGTCCGGCTGGGTGTGTCATTTACACAAATGTGGTAAGTGGCATCCGTTTGTACTAGGAACTGATTTGAAAGAAGTGATTCTTTTTGGTAAAAGTCATTATGGAGAGACAGCTGTTTGCTATGTGTACATGGGGCAAAATTGTCTAAATGCTGTGAGGTGCTTTCACTTGCGCTGAGACCAAGTTTTCCTAAGGTAAATAAGTAGATGGGTTTCAGGGTTGGCCCTCAGTATTCCAAATGGATGTGTGCGCTCTCTATTGCAGTGGATTATAAAGAACAGTTACAAAATGAATTCAATTTGCTTTTACTAGCTAGTGTTTATAGAGTCCTTTGAGTTGAAATTTGACGATGATGTGTAAGGGAACACTAAACATTATTGCTTAACCTCTCTAAATTGTTAAAGTTGCAAACCAGGTAATTATCATTTGAAAACCTAGTGGGCATTCCATGCTCTGAAATTGAATAATTAATTTTGCATGCTCTATCGTAACTGATGTATGAAGCTTTAAAAAGGGAAAGGCTTATAGCTACTTGCTGCTGGCATTAAAGACCAAAAAAGTAGTGTTGGGTGCAACATGTAAATAAGGGATTATCAGATGCTAACTCCTAATAGCTTCACTCTAACAGTCATGGGTCCAAATTATTAAAAGTGGTTTCAGTGCCTCAGTTTTTCAGTATTGTTTCATACACCTTTTTAAAAAGTGTTGACCCCCCCGCCCCGCCCGGGTGCTGATTTCTCAAATGTAATTTATTATGCATTAAAAAAAAAAAAAAATCTAAACGGTACCTTACACTTTCTTGAAGCATCAGGTCTTTTTAAAGTGCCTGAAGTAGTGCACCCAAAATCACTAGTTACTATTGCAAGCCTTGCCCATTGTAACTAGTCAGTTAACAAGTTGTTTTATGTTGTATTTTTATTTGTATGACACAAAGCATGTTATGTTTTATTTTTATCTGTATGATCATTTGCTTAAGGCTCATATTGCAGATAAAGCCATGCAAGCAGACTCTTTACTATCGTATGATTCTCATTGCATTGTTAGTTGATCTGCAAAATTCTTTAATAGTATTTTAATAACTGCTGTAAATTAGTGAGGCTCAACTGTAGTATTGCTCACTTTGAAAGTGAAATTGATCCTCGTGCATCTTGTGATCTTGCTTGAGGGCTGTAAACTCATGGGCAGTAGTTGGCTTTTCAATCTTCTTTTGATTAGTAGCCATCAGCTTTAATTATTAATGAACTGTTAATTAAGATGAAAAGTGAAGCTGATCTCTTGCCTTATGTCGCGAGATGTCCTTCCCTAGTTATTTTATATCAACACTACAGGACAGAGCTGTCCAATTTTTGTCCTGTTGATTGCTACTTTGGCAGCTTGCCTGGAACTTAAAGGACATATTAATGAAATAGAAAAAGATGAAGTCACCATCCTGCTTAGCATACATAAGGTATATTTTGTGAGTACAAGGATCCAAATACTATAGCTCTTACTTTAACTCATTCCTCTGACTTGCACTTCATAATCAAGATGAGTGGCTATGGATTGAATTGTAAAACTGTAATTCCTGGTAGAAGGAAGCAGATATAACAGACTGGCAACAGCTGTTTCCTATGCATCTTCTTCCATTAGTTACCCAAGTAGTTTTGGAGGAGAAGGTGTTTTTTGGCAGCTTACCCAGTGCTGTTTCTTCTTCATTTTTTTTTTTAATGGTTCTCTACTGGTAAACATTGCTCACATGTTAAAGAAACAACATTTAATGGTGCCTTTATTTTTCCTCTCCCCATAATTATATGTCATCAGGGTCAAACACCATTTGATGTGGCTGATGAGGGACTGGTTGAACACTTAGAGATGCTGCAAAAGAAACAGAATGTGGTGAGTTTCTGACTGACCTCTTTCTAGCCACCTATTAATGGGTGAGTAACTTACACAACAGTGGGGGCAAGCAATTGTGGCAGGCATGCCACAAATTTGGCCTGTACCCCTCCTGAGCACCTCTCTCATCCCCTTCACCTGCCCCGTTGGCTGCTTTGCTTTCTGCTTCCTACCCTGTACTCCCTGCCTGATATGCCGCTGTGCTTTCTGCTTCTTGCCACTGCTGCCAGTCTCCTCCTCAGTTTGTCATGTGCCACACACACAGGCTGCCTGTTCTACTTGTGACTTGTGTCCTGATGGTTGGCCACCCCAGTTCTAAAGCATACTGTCTCAGTGGAGGCATGGAACTGAGTGCCAGCATTTTTTAGAAAATAACTAATAGGAAGACATTAAAACAACTTCAGTTGAGCAGTGTTCAAAGTAATGATTTAATTGCAATCCATCTTTCTGCTGTATCTTAAAGTGCTTCTGGCTTGTGTGAGTTACCTTTATTCATTTATTCACATATAATGGCATCGCTGGTGATAAACTTCCATGTCACTTGGCCAAAGCACTTCAGTCACTGGTGCATGGCTTAATAGGGCAGTCCATAAAGGCCAGCATTTGATTTTGGCCTTAGGCAGTGCTCTACTCCATCAGCATTGCTAAAGTTCTGTTGGAGTTCCACTGACATGCCACTGGAATATAACAATGCACCTGGTATATAATTATGTTCTTGCAAAAGTTTTGACCCATGATACACTAGAGTCTGCCATGCTAGATAACGTAGCTGGCAGACTTGCCTGTCACATTAGGGCACAAAAAGGCAGTTATGAAAGAAGAAGGCATTTTTTCTACAGTCAGGTTTGGTGTGATAACTAGCCACTAATGCTGACATTGCCTGTTAATGTATGTCCTTCCCATTGTTTCTTTCAACTTCTTGAACTTTTTCACAGCTGCGCAGTGAGAAAGAGACAAGAAACAAGCTAATTGAATCGGATGTGAATGGCAAACTTCAAAGTGGACTCTTCAAAAAGTAAGATACTTTACTTAATGACAAAGTTTCACAGAATGTAAAACAATTTGGCTGCAGGTGTCTTGGTAGTCTGGCTTGACCTCATTCAAAAAATGCATCTACTGCAGCACTTCTAGTTTCTTCTTTCAAATACTAGCTCTCTTTCTTGCCCATTTCGTTGATATAGACTTTACTCTGAGGCACCCTTTTCCCCATCTGAATGGTGGTGCCCTTGCCATCTTGGAGCATGCAGGAATGGGAGCGCTGCCAGTAGTGAGTGTCCTGTGTTAGATAATCCTGGGGTGCTGAAGTCAATAAGAAGATGCATTTGTAAAGTTGCCTCTTCTAGATGTAGTCAGTTAGATCCTCTCTACATAGGTAAAGGTGGAATGGGACCTAATGTGCAATTCACACAATTGTGCCTCCTGGCAGGAGGCAAGCTTCCGTGGCTGGGGCCCCATGCAGCCCAGTTGTAGAGGGTGCCTTACACATCCCTGGGGCTGGAGGATCCTCGCTGCAGTGATCTCCCTGCTCTGGGGATTTAAAGCATCCCTGAAATGGGGGGATTGCCAGGAGGCATGCTACGAGAACCCAGCATCCACAGCTGTGGGATTATGGGTCCTGGCAACTGAGGGGTGCTGCTGGGACCCAGAATCTGCAGCTGCTGGGGCTGTGTCCCAAGCAATTGAAGGACTTGCGGCCCCAGGTGGCCAAGTGCACCCCTGTGCCTGGGAGCCCTGTCAGCTGACAGGGGAGACCCTGCTACACGTGCAAATTTATAGTTTGATAGCAACCAGTTATTATACATTTTTTAGGTCTAACTTTATAGTTGGTTTGAGCTTTTATTGTGTGATAAGTATTTTGCATGTATAGCTGGTCTCAGGGTAATTGCACAGTTAACCAGTTAATTGTGCAATACCTGTAATGTGTACAAGGGATCTTTATTTCTAGGTTCCTTAAGAGTAAAAGCTCAAATAACTTGGCAAGCGTTAAAACTGTTTTATGTTTTGTTTTTATTTTTTTTTCAGTAAAGAGAAGATTCTTTATGAGGACGACACTTTGAAGTCTGTGGAAACAGAAGAAGAAAACAAGGAGTCCAGCAGTTCCAGCTCTGAGGAAGAAGAAGAAGCTGAAGAGGATGAGGCTTCAGAATCAGATATTGAAAAGGAGTCAGGTAATCTGTAGTAGAACTTTGAGATTTGATAATTATCAAGTTGTAATAAGACATCAATTTTGGACACCCATTGGGCACTTCTACATGAAACATTTACTGTGCAGTAAATTACTTAATTTTTCAGTAAACATCTCTGTGTCTACATGTGTACCCTATTAGGCTGGAGTAAACTAATTTACTTTGCAGCAGAATAGTACTTGTAAATACAGGTACTTGTAAATACAAGTACTATTCTGCTATGGAATACAAAAAACAAAACTCCGCAGCAACGCATGTGTAGATGCTGCCCTGGCTGGCTGGGGCACAAGAAGCTGTCTGCTGGCTAGCCCTGTGCTGAAGCATCCTTGTGCCCCACCCAGCCCCTCTGCAGCACATTGAGCTGGGAGGAGTAGCCCTGGGCTTATCCCCTGGGCCTCCTGCTAACCAGGGATGCTTTGACCTGGCTTAGTGTGCTGTACTCCCAGGTGCGGATGCAAATGGTCTGGAACAGATTCCAGAGCAATAAGCTCTGGAGTTTGCTTCACATTAATATGGATGTGTAGACGTGCCCATTCATTTTTAAAGGAGAGAAACTTCTTGGAAATGTTCTTCAAATGATTTGAGATACTAACTAAATCATGGGTATAGGATAGGGTAGAGAACCGTATAGTAAAATGTACTGAAGTTTTTGGATTATGTTCTTGTTAATATAGAAGACCTAACTTAATTGGTCTTCAGATTATTTATCTAATAGGGGTCAATCCTTTTTTTAAACACACAATTAGAATCTTATCAGAAAATTGAAATTGCTAGAAAGCATCATGATAGAATTTAAAAGTACCTGTGATTGTAAGTGCCTTTCATACAATTTATTTTAATCTATGCAAGATCCCTTTAAAGGTGTGGAAACTTTTCATCTTCACTTTGCTAGACATTCCAAACCAGCAGCATTGTTTTAAATACTACATAACAGGGACTGACTAACTTCTTTCTGATTACTAGCTCCAAGTCAGCCTGATGTAAGAAATTTTGGAATAGGTTTACACTGTTCATAAGTTCTGCATTAAGCAATGGCTTTTTCTCAGTGTAAGTGTATTTAAAACGCTTTGGATTTTTTGATAATCATCCCACCAGACTGTACAAACTTTGTGGGAGGCTAAATATTTCCAGTTTTAGCTGCTTGCATGTCTCCTTTAAGAGTGAAAATGTTGATAAAAGTTCAGGGAGACAGTAGTCTGCTTATTGCACCTGTTGATCCAAGAACTGGACTGAAGGTACCTATAGAAACTGATATTCTAGTTAACTATTTCAGTGACCCTTAAGAGAGGGTATTCAATATGGTAAAAAAAAGAATTGGGAAACATTTTTAGGAAGGGGGAAAACAAGATTCTAAACTTCTTTGAGAGTAATGACAGTTTTCTTTGTTGTTACCACACAGAGGCAAGAGAAGCCTTTTCTGATCTTGGTGTGTTTTCTTTAATCATATATTGGGTGTGTCTACATGTTCATTAATGCACTTTTGATAATGTGCATTAAATTCAGTATCTTCACTGTGAGGTACTAGAAAAAGGTGTGTTAATTTATTTTAATCTGCATTACTGAAAGTGGACAGTTTTTCTGTGACTAGGCTAATGTGCTTTAAAGCGCACATGTAGACATGCCTATTGAAAAGTAATGAATTCACAAAGTAAAGAGTATAATATCAAGCTTCATATTAATGCAGATTGCTGCAGTTCCACGCTGCTGACTTAACAACAACTTAGGGATCCTTAATTAGTTCAGAGCAGGGGTGTCAAACATTCGGCTGTGTGTGGATTTAGCCTGCAGAGCCCCATGATCCAATCCCAGATATAGACCCCTGGGGCCACCACTGATGCCTCCAAGGGGAAGAAGAGAGGTGCAGGGACTTGGAAGCACCTGTTACCTCACCTGCTTACCTCTCCTTTCACTTCTCTATCTCTCTGTCTCCTATCTCTGTGAGGGGAGGGTGGAAGGAGTTGATAGGGTACTCCCCATGGCTGGTGCTAGGGGAGGTGGCAGCATTTTGGAACATTTCAGTGTTTTGAAATGTTCTAACCAGGAACAGCATAGAGCCATATGGGTGTGCCCTGGCTGAAACATATCCTTTTAGAAGTGGTTTCCAAGTGTTTCACTTGTTACATCTTTCCACACCTGAAGTTGTTAGGTCAGAGTTGACCTGATTTTGTCAACTCTTGGTATAGTGTAATTTTTCTCCACATTGGAAATGCAGGTGTATATTTTAATTGCTGACTCGGATCAGTACAGAAACTCTAGAAGGCAGAAAGGCCTACAGGGGTTTTTATCTGGCCCTTTATTTCTTACTACTTAACAGCAGGTGCTCAGAACAGAGTATCTGATCTGCTCAGAGTGAGTGGACCAGGAAAGTGAAATCGAGAAACTCCCTGATCCCTGAGGAGTGGGTAGCAGTACAAAAAAAAATCTGTTACATCTTTGTGTACTAGTCTGTTTCGGACTCAGTGGCATATACACAAAAGAAAAATCTTTCTGGTGATGTTCAAGGGCCCCAGTCAGTCTTGGGGTTTGGTTGTGCTGACTGTCCCTGTACAGGGATGACTGTCCCCCCTCTTTTTTTGCATTTTGAGAATTGTAGATCACAATTGGTACTGGAAGCCTTTTTTTTTTTTTTAATTCAGATATGTAAATTAATGCTGGCTTCCTGTGAATTTGCAAAATGGCTGGTTGCAGTCACGTGTGCAAATTAGGTAAACACATTCATGGCCATCATTCTTTGAAAACCTAGCACATGACAGCACCGACTGTCCAGAAAAGCCAGGAGTGAAAAAAGCCACAAAGCAAGCAGATGCCTATGCCTTGACAGTTTGTTTGTTTTTTTTTGTTTTTTTGCTGAGAAATATAGGGAGCACCAACATTTGTTGAATCCCAGATACAGCACTAAAACAATTGTCCTTTTACACTAAATACTCTGGGGTACATCAGAAGAAGTGCATTTAAAAAAAATCTAATGGGAATTTTCTCTGCTGTACGCGCCTCCTTTATATACAACATGCTTCTTCCCAGTTCTAATATTTATATAGCTTCAAAAGTTTTTCATGAGCTTTAAAGTTATAAAGGTCACTAGCTTGAAGAGTTTAAGGTTTAGACTGGAAAAACAAGCAATTAATGGGCATCTCGGCATACCGAGCTAATTTGAGACCCCCTGTTAAACTAAGCATAGGGTAGAGCACAGATATGATAAGAGCTGGAGTGGAAGATACTAGTGAGAAGCTGAGTTGAATTTTGAAGAGTGTCCTTTTGCGTGGTTAAATAATTTTTGTAGAATCTGTATAGTGTGAGGATGACATAATTTGAACAAGAAGCACTGAATTGCTGTAGTGTCTCCTGAGCAATATTCTCTTTGAAATAAACATTTCTCACTAAGCAAAGGGAGCTGTGACCTTAGTGATCCCATTGCATTGTACTGGGACCAGTGTTTAATGACGAGAACAGATCTACAAAGACAAAAAGTTCTAAATGTAATAAACAGTCAGCACTGAGAAGGTTTTCTATATTGTCAAGAGAAAGCATCAGCTTTACTGAGAGTTCTTTGTGGCTGAAGCAGTGTTACTGAGTGTGTACAAAGCCCGTCACAATGGTGTTGCATTTATGGTTGGTCCTTGGGCTCTACCACAATAAGTGTGATTAAAATCTACTAGCTGATCATTTATTATTAATGTTTTTATCAACTATTATTAGAGGTGCACTGATGCATCGTTCTGATATCAGCTTGGCACAGATATAACGAAAATTAATTGTATCAGAAATCGGCCTGATGTGGCTGATAATTTGGCCAATAAATACCTGTACATATGCGCAGCCACAGCGCAGCACGTAGGTGACAAGGAGCACAGCCCAGCAGCTTGGAGGGGTGCATGCAGCTGGTCAGTCTGTTGTGGTGGAAGGGGAGGAAAGGGAAGTGGGGGTGCAGATCAACGCCCCCTGCACTGAGAGAGGGAGTGGGGCAGAGCCTGGGCACAGACGCTGCTCAGCTGGGTAGGGCGGGGTATGGGACGAAGTAGCGGCTCGTCTGGGGGGCATGGCTCCTGCCACTGTGCACACTCTG